TGAACCATGCAGTGTTTCCTTGCTCTGTTCTGATGACTGCCTCTTGGTCCAAGTGTAGGTTTCTCATTAGCATGATCAAGTGTTCTGGGATTCCCATTCTTCTCAGAGTCAGCCACAGTTTGTTATGATCCACACAGTCAAAAGCCTTTGCATATCCTACTATAAATCAATTTTCATGGCTTCTTTTTCAGTGATTAAATTAAATTAAATCTTTGTAGGTTCTTATGAATCCAAAGGAGTGAAATTTGGATAGGTTCAATACCAGTTTCCACTCCTTCCCAAACTTAGTGAAACTACAGATCAATACTCTGATTTTCAAGAAAAGCTTTGGCTAATAGTGAACATATACAAAATGTCTTACTTGACATAATTTTTTCTGTATTAATTCATTATATTTGCATTTTCTAAACTCAATTAGATGATTAATGATCATGAAAGAAGGAATAAGCAGGTTAATACCAATTGTTGCGTTTCATTATTCTGATCCTCAGTACTGTCAGCCAACAACTGAGTCAGTTTCTTCCATAGCTGGTGAAGCTCTTCCTTGTCTGCACCCTCTTCCTGGCGGGTCTTTATCAACTTGTGCCATGTTCGTGCCACCTATTAAGGGGATTTAAAATACTTTTACATTCAAGATTAAAAAATATCAATGAAAATTTTTCACTAAAAAATAGCAAAAGAGCATAAACGTTGCTCCATATATTACAAACGTCCCAAAAAACAAGTTGCTTAGGCAGTCTACACTGTCCTTATACAAGAAGTATGGCTGAGATAGCACAGTAAATAAAGGAATAATAAATAAATTTCTGCACCGTCATAACTTAGAGCACCAGCTATGAGGACACTACAAATGGATCACTAAGTTCTGCAGAAGGCACTTACACCTCATATAAAGAAATATATACTTATTTTTACACCCTGTCTGTTTCCAAAAGGTTTGGAAGCTATTACATCTTAAATTCTAATTCTAATGTCTGGTTTTCAAGGGACTGTTACTTGTATTATCTTTTAAAACTTATTTACAAATTAACTTGTTTACTTTCCCATTAAGCTAAGTCTCATGTCTCATAAAATAATTTTATTAAAATAAGTCTAGTATGCCAGCAAATCTATAACCAACCTCTACATGTTTCTTTTCTTGGTAATACAGATCCACGAGTTTCTTACACACATCACACCACTTTTGTTTATCAACACTTAGAAAGGGGGAAAAAAACAACACTTAAAAAAACATTAACCAAGGACTTAGTAAAATATCCACAATAGCACAGTAGTATCAGATACTATTTTAAATTAGATTATATCCTTTTTCATACAACAATAAAATCTCAGAGTCTTTTGTTTAAAAAGAAAAAAAGGCTTAAGAAATATATCTCCATTACAATGAATGAAAATCTTACCCTAAATTAGTTCTTACTAAGTGTTTTTATTCTATTTCAATGGAAAACAAGAAATTCTGTAAGAGTGAAAAATTAACAGAGAGCAGTAAAATATTTCTCAGAACAGTCAACTCTGTGAACCCTAAGGGCAGCATTTGCCCAAAATCAAAGATGGCAAGAAGGGACAAGAAAAAAAGCACAGAACACAGGAAGCTCCAGTTGGAAATGCGGAGGGTGCTGACATTGTGGGGATTGTACCCACTGTTAAAGAACAACGTGCATACACCACCTCAATGGGAAATGAATGCATTCTACACACTCTCACCTAAACCATAAAATATATGACATGTATTCACATATCTATGATATCTATATACAAGACATTTGTGTCTGTGTGTATACGTATTTATATATTTAAACGTAAAATAAGAAACAAAAAAGCACATTCTGTAATAATTGTTTAAAAAAAATCTTTCCAATTGCTATTAAATGTTAAGACTACTTACATAAAATTTTTAAATGGAAGTTTATTCTCATTTAAGCTATTAAAGACAGTGGCCTTCCCCTACACATTTATTACCTTTCATAGAGATCCAGGAGCTTTTGGTAGACACTAGGTAAGTCATCCTTAGCGTTTGCATGATTACTTTTCTCATATAAACTTGCTAATCCCTAAAAGAAGAAATACTGGTGATTAGTGTTCCAAAAACATCTGATGTTCTCACATTTTATTATTTCACTGAAACAATCATTTACAAAGATTCTTTATAAGATTATAATTTATATATGGAATATTATGTCTGAGATTTATCTCCAAATAGGCTAGGGTAAGAATAAATAGGTGAAAGACACAAATTAAAAAAATAATGGTCATCAGCAGATTTGAGCTGAAACTAGATAAAGGGCAAAGAAGCATTTAAAACACTATTATCTTTACTTTTTTAAATATATTAAAATATTTCAAAATAGAAATAATTTCTAACAGTTACTGGACAATCGTAACATTTCAAACATTCCTATATGACACTATTTCATGATATGATCAAACAAAAACATTGTTTTGCTGTAGACATTTGTCATTTTCCTTCGAATAAAACCAATCAGTACACTATAAAAATATTCACCTTTCTAACTGTGTTTACCAGACACCCTCACTTTCTGCTTCATGAGAACCTGTGACACACCATTTCATTTCTCCAGAACCTACTATTCCTGTTAATCACAATTTCAGAGAAGTGTTTGAGATAGAAAACAAGGCAAAGTATTGAATATAAAAAACCTAGAGAGCAGCCTAAAAAACACTAAGATTCCTAAGTAAGAAAAAAGCATTTAACTTGTACTCAAAAGATAAAGAATTTTCTACATTCTTTTCTTTTTAGAAAACATTAATTTAGGGGGGTTTTAAGTAATGAATAATACTCTGAAAAAGTGTGTTTTATGAAAATAAATTACGAAGTATGACATTTATATATGTATTCATGTTTCAATTCCTTATATTTGGAAACAATTCACTGCAATGGTAAATAGTGGTAATTAGCACCCTCAGCACCACTTTTTAAAAAAATTAACTTTCAGATTTAAAGAGCAATCAATTAATTCTTTTTTTATAAGAGGAGGACCTGAAGCATTTGCTGCAGAAGGTCAAGGACTTCAGCCTTAAATATGAAGTTCAACATCAAGAAAACAAAGATTCTCACCACTGGGCCTTTTGGCAGCATCATAATATACGGCAAAGATATTGAGATTGTTAACAGCTTTAGTTTGGTTGGCTCCACAATCAAAACTCTTGGTACCAGCAGCCAGGATATTAAAAGACAAATTGCATTAGGAAAGTCTGCTGTCAGAAAACTCTCCAAAGTACTGAGGAGCAAGGATGTCAGTCTGGAGACTAAGATGTGCCTGATTCAAGCCACAGTCTTTGCAATTACTTGCTATGCATCAGAAATCTGGACAATGGCTAGGGATGACAGAAGGAGAAATGATGCCTTTGAGCTGAAGGGCTGGAGATGAGTACTGAATATACCATGGACTGCTAAGAGAACAAACATGGTCATCCTAGACAGAGTATGACAAGGCTGCTCCTTGGAGTCAAGGATTCTGAGGCTCTGTCTAACATACTCTGGACATGTTGTAAGGTGGGATCAGTCCTTGGAGAGGGACATCATACTTTGGAGGGTGGAGGGACAGTGAAGGAGAGGAAGACCCTCAATGGGGTAGATTGATTCAGTGACTGGAGTAATGGGGGTAGGTGTGTCAGAGACCATAAGATTGGCACAGGACAGAGCACAATTTAGGGCTGTTGTACATAGATAGGGTTGCTATGAGATGCAGAGACCTCGACAACACATTACAACAACAATAACAATGAAAGCTTAACTGCTTATTATAAAGTTGCCACCTATATTTTGAAAAATAAAGGGGGAAGTCCCAACCCTTTCCCATAACATAGTACAAAATGTTTTCTCCATACCTGCCATGCCAATAACTGGTCCGGCTCTAGTTCAGCAGCTTTCCTGTAGGCACCCTGGGCCTGATCAGGTTGTTCTAGCTCAGCTGCAGCAACACCAATAAAAACCCAGGCATTGTAGTTATTTTTCTCTTGTTTCAAAACAGTCTGATCAAGGAAATGAACAGAATAGGTCATTAAAGTTTGAAAACTGGTAAGTAAACAACCATAAGATAGTCTATTTAAAAGTCAAGAAATTTGTTCTAAATTCTAACCGGGCAACCTTAAATATGCCATTTAATCTCACTAGTCTTAAGTTTGCTCATAAGGAGAAATGCATTGAATTAAGTTAGTGATTTTCAGAGGTCTATAAGGAATATACTTTTTTCAAGCACTTTCCCCAAATCTCTTCCCCTGCTCTTTGAGAATAAGCCCCTTACCCGCTGCCATCAAGTTGATGCTTACTCATAGAGATCCTGTAGGATAGAACAAAACCAACTACTGGGTTTTCAAGACTATCAATCTTTATTGAAACAAACTGCCCACTGTTCTCCTGCAAAGCAGCCAGCTGGGGAGTTTGAACAAGTCATTTTTCAGTTAGCAGCCAAGTACTTAATTACTGAACCCACAGGGACCCTCTCCCATTTATACCACCTAGCAATATCATTCTTAGTATTGTTATTGCTACCAAACTTCAAAGAACTCCTTTCTTTAGTAAAAAATTTTTCTACATTGTAATCTCAATTACTATAACCGCTCTAATATTCACACTGATGATCTATTTACCTCGATGGCCTCTCAGTTTCTTAGCCACTACAGTACTCGGCTATACAACAGGTGAATTTCCACCATGACACTGTTCTGCCCCTTATCAGTCCCTTCAGTTTAATTACCCTAATAACCCCATGATGATAATAACTCTTTAACCTCTGATATCTCCATTTACTGAGCTTACTCCCTTGCTCCACCTTTCATCACCCTAATTCTCATTTCTCACTGCTCCTTCCCTACCTTGGATTCCAAGATCACCATAATCAAATCCTAGAAAACATCCTTAACTCTTTTGCTTGTCTTTCTCCCCATCTTCTCACCAGCTATACTTACACCCTGTTATCTCTCATCCCCAAGCCTGAGAAGCTGAACATGGAGAAAGAAAGCTGACAGGTGAGCTCACAGATTCCACCATAACAAATGAGCCTTCATTCCCTCTTACTAATGTCGACACAGAACTGACTCATAGCTGACCCTCCCACCCATTGCTGTTGTTGTTATCATTGAGTCAGGCCAACCCATCACAGAGTCTCCAGTGGGTTTTCAGAGGTAGCATACCACATGGGAGGAGACTGTGCATCTTTGTCCCACAGAGCAGCTGCTAGATTTGAACCATGTGCCTTTGGATCAGCAGTGCAGCCCTTTACCACAGGCCACTAGAGCTCCCTGCAGACTTTAAAAAGCCACAAACTGCAGTGGAGAAGATTTCCTATCTTCTTTCCAGGGAGCCACTAATGGATTCAAACGTCCAGAGGCATCGCCTTTGGGTCAGCAGCACAATTCCCAAAGACTATGCTACCAGATCCCCTCCAACAATTTCACTGTCAAAAATGGACACTCATTAGGGCCTGGTAATTTCCCCACTTTTTATGAGTGTTCTAGTTTAGCACATATAACATGTCCATGCATGTAATGCACATAGGGCACTAACTCAAAGAATTCGCAAAATTTTTTTTTTGGGGGGGGAACATAATGTGCATGTTATTTACATAAAAATATTGTTGGTGAATTTCCCCCTCTGAATAACAGCTGTTTCCTATCTTTTTGTACCTCAAGAATTTTAATCAACACTCTTTCCACTCTCAGCTTATTCTTCACAAAGAAATTAAAAATCACCAATAGGGAAGCTGTTTTCTTTCAACCACTTCTACACCCCTGATACAATAAGGCTTTCTCTCTTGTTCTTAAGGACAAGGTGTGAAAACTCCTCCACTCACATTGTGGTTCCAACCCTCTTTCACCTCCCCAAGGATTCATTCCTATCCCCATTCTCTATTTCTCATTTCCTTTTTTTGTACCTGCACATTCTTATAAGAATAAAAAGAAAATTAAGACACTTGATCTGCCCATCTGCAAACTAAATAGTTTTAGAATGTCAACACACCATGAAGGAAGAGAACTAAAGAATGAGAAATAGCATACATAGTTCCATAACACAAACCAATCACAGGATCCTTTGGAGAGATTCAGTCTTGAGAACCTGGCTTTGGTCAATAGAAAGAGAACAGCAAGTGTGATAGTACCTGCTAGTTGAGAGTTGTCAGTCCAAACACTCCTTTGGTTCTACTAAATGGCCTGAGCAATTTTGTTGGATTTTTGCAGTGAAGGCTGCACACAGTATTGATAGATAATACTTGTATATAGGTCATATACTTTAATCATAGGAGAGAGGTTCAGAGATAGATACCTTACAATGTTTCAGAGCTTCTTTATATTCTTTATTTCTGATTGCATCTCTGGCACTTTTTAGAGCTGTCTTCACCTCTTTGCTTGACATTCTGTGAAAAGAAAAAGCCAGAATGGATCTACTATCTGGGATTTCTTTCTGTGATTTCTTCTACCTCCAACTCTTTCTCCCTAATATACTATACATTGACCCATCCTAACCTTCCACTGTCTGTGGCCCACCACGGGAATTAAATGGCTTACTACAATTGTAAATTACATACATGGTATCTTGCTGGTAGGATCATGGAAATAAGATGTATGGAACACTAATGTAAAGATAGTTCAATTTTGCTGGCAAGGCTTAAAACTGGCCCGGAAAAAGAAAACAGGAATCTTACTACCATCAAAAAAGAAAGAACCAGATAGTACAATGTATCCTTTGTCCCTGAAAAAGCAAAGAGAGATGGAGCAAGACTGAGAAACAGAGTGAGACCAAGAAATGGCAGCAGAGGTAGTCCCAGTGGTGCAGAAGCAGCAGTTGAAAACTGCAGACTAGCTATGGGGTCTTGGCGGAGGAAGCAAGAAATTGACATCCAAGGCAAATGGGTGCCTGTGGGCATTTGCTCGAGGAGGTGTGCTGGCCCGCCCAAAGACCTACAGCCAAGTTCCTTTTCGCCTAGGTTTACTGGCAGTGAAGGAGGCACATACTTGACAGAGCTAAATAAGCTTTGTAACAACTGCAGAAACCAAGGCAAAGAGGCCAAAGGCTAAAAGCCTGTCAAATATACCTTAGAAAAGGCTGTGCTAATTGAAACACTATATCCTGTGTGTTCCTGAACCTAAATTGTAGCATTTTAATTCCCTAAGAAGCAGGAGTGGCATCCACTTCCTACATAACATGCCTCTGAAACTCTATCAACGTTGATAAATGTCGTTGATAAATGTCGAAGTTGGCATTTACAGAAAGTTTGTTGACAGTTATAGAAAGGTTTCATGCCTTTATTCATAGGATCACTATGAGTTATGCTCAACTTGAAAGCAATCAACAATAATCCCCTAAGTATTGTCTGTGAGTTCTTTGTGACCACTGCAATGAATTATCAAACTCAGCAGAGAAGTAGTAAATATCATAGAAGGCATTACTGGTGCTGGGATTGTCAAAAGGTACAGAATATGGAGATATGTATGACCTCTTAAGAAGTGGCTGTGAGTTACTGATGGGGATTCTACTTTGGGAAGTTACTGGAGGTAAGATCCTACCACCAGGGTAGGTACCAGGTAGGTCTACACTGGTGTAACACCAGGTAGGTCTACTGGTGTTACAATTACCTTACCTGAAATGATCTCGATATAACTTTTACAAACTTCAGTTGAACTACTGTACAGTCTGCAAATTTCAACTGGAGTATGTGACAAATTTCAATGTTGGTTTCATACTACATTTTCTGTAGATAGTTTTCTTCAGTAGAAAAATCTGTAGGTTGAAAGGGACCAGGTCAATGATCACATTTGATTTGAGACTAATAAAGCATCAGTATCGTATGCATAGGTGAAAATGAGTAAACGGAGTTAATAGTATAGAAGAGACTTACTGAAAAACAAGAAATTCAGATATAACAGAGAGAATACAGATTGTAGAAATCCTCTAAAGTTGGATAGACAGGTTTGGGCTCAAATATAACCACAAATAGAAAGTCATTAAATGCTTTTAAGTAGGTTCTTTTTTAAAGATCACCAAAAACAAACACTTGTCTTGGTAAACAATTCTTTTTTAAAAAACAAACTTTTCTTTTTTTAGTGTGTGTGTGTGTGTGTGTGTGTGTGTGTGTGTGTACCATCACATCAGATCTGACTGGTACAGGAGATTGTTCCTCCTTCTTCAGCAGAGCATCTGGTGGATTCGAACCGCATGCCTCTGGAACTGCAGTGCAACTTCCCACCACTAGGCCACAAGAGCTCCCTAGTAATCAATTCTTAATCCATGCCTATATTGTGGGCATCTGAAAATATAATTCTTTACCCTGCAGCAGAACCTTTATGTTTTCTTCCAATACTTTTATCTGATTCAACATTTAGAATAATATACTAGCACTGCAATAAGGCCCTTTCTCTCTACTTATCGCGCGCGCGTTTGTGTGTTTGTGTGTGTGTGTGTGTGTGTGTGTGTGTCTGTGTGTTTGCTGTAGGGTTACTCAACAGTAGTGGGTTTGGGTTTCTAAGTGTGTATCAGTTTCAAAAGGTTAAGTAGTAATTGCTCTATTTGTTTAATACATTATTATGCTTCAGGTGAAAGTTTATATAACAAACTAGATTCTCATTCAACAATTTAGACCAAAGTGTTTTGTGATATTATTTTAAATCTTCACAATGTTTCAACAGTGGTATAGGAGAAGAGTACAGAATATCCCAAGAACATCAAAAAAATACCCCATGGCATTCCAAAAGAACGACCACAAAAAAAAAAAAAATTGTCTTGAAGAAAGTGCAAACAGGGTGATCTTTTAGAGGCAAGGATAGTGACACTTCGTTACGCATGTTGTTAAGTGGAACCATTCGTTGGAAAAAGATATGCTGGAAAGGTGAAGGGTCAGCAAGAAAGGAAGATCCTCAACAAGATGAATCTACATTGTAACTCTAACAATGG